AGAATGCCACCAAGATCAGCTGCAGCACCGCCAAGATGTTCAGAAACAGCAGCATGATGGCAAGTCCACACGTGAGCTACAAAAGCTAGTACCAGGCCAACCAGTATCGGTGTTTCAACCAAAAACCAAGACCTGGACTCCGGCAACACTGAAAGAGCAAATGAACCAGCCAAGATCCTACATTGTAGAGACAAACAGTGGTTCTGAACTAAGGCGCAACAGAATACAGTTAAAACCGTCAGGCCAAGTAGCACCAAGCCTTGAAGGTCAACTGCTCTCTAGCCAAGACAATCCACCACAGCCCAGTGCACCTACATTTACATCTCACCAAGTCCCGTCACCAGGATTACCCCAGACACCCCAGAAACCAGCTACAGTTGGTGAGGGAAGTGCCGACCAACATCTGACAACCAGAAGTGGTCGTGTTGTAAAGAAGCCATTAAGGCTGGACCTTTAAACTTTGTTAATCAGAACAACTCGGCTTAGCCGTCTGAGAATTTTGTTGCGTTGGATTCAATTTGAACAATACTTGCGTTATTTAGGTTCCAATTTAGAGACCAAGTTTGTTTCTTTCACCCGGCAAAGTTTTTAGGGTGGAGATGTAAACATATCAGGTTATGAGCATGCGCAGTAGGACGAGACAGAATATACACGTGTGCTTGTACTCGTTAGCTGGAATAAAAAGTTATCTTTCTGATCTCTGCCATAACTTTACACGTATAACATTTTGGACATTTACAATTTATCTTTGCTGGCGTATAAGAACACGCGCTTGCTGTCGATTTCGGCCCGATAATCCCTAGATAAGAGGAAAGCCTCAATTCTAATATCGATCATTTCTGTGCTTAGAAAAATGCAGATTAAAGATGTTTACCGATTGTGTGGTCTCTTTCCAAAGAATGATAACAGCAGCTCGTCAAACATGGCCCGCATTGCGTTCGTAGTGCTTCCTTCGCTCCGAGGATAATCGTTATCTGGGGAGAATTGTCTGTGACATGGAACGCCAACACAAACTTTCCTTTTATTTTATAATTTGGACAGTATTTAACTCAATTCGAGATAAATGTAAACCTCCTGAAGGCCCGCATTCATGGCATTGGAAAGTATTTGCGACTCCCTTTGTCCGCCATCTTGAATCTTTTGGGTTGTTGTGAAACACAACACTCCAACCAAAACACGCATTCTCATTGGTTGAAACGTGAGTTTCGCGACATCACAGATGTCCTAATATATTGGGATATTCTGGACTGTTGAGAGGTTGATGCTTTCCCTAGATCATAAGCCACGACGTGAACAAGAAGGTATTTGAAAAGGTTAATCTTACGCCCAGACTGTTGATAATACATTTCCGAGGATAATCATCGATCATAGCATCGAACAGTCTAGTTAATAGTTAACTCTGCCATAGATGAACTTCATTATTTGACCCAGAAAAAGCTTTCGAAAGTCTCCACAGACAGGTACCATTTTCTAGTAACTCAAGGATCACTTTGGATTCCACCACAGTTCCTTCAAAGTTAGTCAAAAAGCTATGGCTCAAGTAAATCAGAACGTGAAATTAAATTGAACTAAAAATTTGAGATGAGCTTAGTCTAGGTTATTGGCGGTCTCCGGTGATCATTAAACTGGTGATGTAATTTATGCGTCCATGCAGTGAACATTTGTAACTCGCTTCAGTGACCTGGATGGACTACACAAGTAATATATGCTCCTTACCCCAAACCTAGAACGTAAACAGAAATGGACCGGTCACCTGACAGCAGCTGCAGAAATAATTAAATCTGGCCTCAACGTCAGCAAAGAAAATACGAGAACCACGAGAGCTTAAGTAAGATGAGAGTTGTGCAGCTGGAGAAGGCCAAAAGATTTACACATCTTGAAAGCAAATTAAACATGAGATGGTGGTACAAGGTGTAGATAAAGACGTAGCTAAACTCCAGAATACTCGGCCACTTATTAGCATCTCATTGAATAAGAATAGCAACTATTGTTATATACCTCGTTTTTCAAAGCGCACCGGCACACGTAAATAAAGTGGCCGGGTAGGCAAAGACAGGTAGGCTTTCAGTACTCCCCCACCAGTGTGGAACACGTCAACATATCTTAAGACCAAGAGAGATCGTGTTCTACCATACGGTTTGAAAACTGTTGGACAGTCGCCAGATCTACATCAAAAAATTTGCCAACCTCCACTGACCAATGTCTCAGACGGATCAAAAAGAAGCAAGAACTGTATTGGATGAGGCAACACGTTACTTACGAAGTGCGAGGCGCAAGTGAGATCAGATTGGCAACGCACAGCGAAGGATAACATCTGACATACCATAAATGTGAATAGCACATCGTACGCGGCCTAGAGAGCTTCAATTCTAAAGACAAAGTGTGTGGTGGTGATCCAACTAGTTTAGTTTATTTGGGTGACCAGCTACTGTTTGTATTGCTAATTATGTCACATATATAATATATCATATAATATATCATAGTTATTCTTTGCTTGTGCTTGCACAGAGTTGTCAACGCCCTTTGCTCTACTGGGAGCCAAAAAGCCAGTCCGTGGAAAATTTGTACTTCTTAGATTTACCTTAACATACTTAATTTTAGATGTATTATGTCTCTGACGCATTATACGTCTTTCTAGGTAAGTAGAGCCATTATTATTGAAAGAACATCCTGAAATTATATTTCAGTTTACCGCGTCTGAAGATTCTCCTTGTCTCTTGTAAAACAAGAATGATGCTCCATCGTCACTAAACTGCAACTTGTACTTAGTAACCATCTGTGCAGGAAAGTAAGAATTCCTTCCCTGCGTAGCCACATGTGTCACAGGCGTGATTTTACCAAAATCAACTTGATACCATTGGTTCAAATCATTGGTTGCTGATGCCCAGCTACCACGCGAATAAACATCAGTCTCCTTAGTATGCAACCTCGCTCGCCTGATAGCGTGGTAGCTGTCCAGTTCGGAAGAAGCAGTTAATTGCGAGTCTGCAATGGCACCACTTTCCATACCGAGAGCTTGCATATCGTCTACAAAATGGAGAAGACATCGGGCATATAGTAAACAATTATTAGGTAAGATTTTCCGTGATATCGAGAATAAATCGAGGGCCAGGTAAGTGTTATCAGCAAGTGTTATGACTTACCGAGACCTTGATTATTCTGGACATAAAGAAAAACCGAATTCGTTAATTGTTCTATTATACATAGTCAAAACAGTTGAATGTGTAAATGGAGACTTCATTCGACACCAAACGCTTGCTTGTCTTTTGAGTCCCGTCTCATTTTCAATAATTTTCGTCTTCAGATTTTCTTCAGACTCGTTTCTTGATTTTGTCGCATTTTTCGTGTCTACATTACCAACTCCTTTCTGCAGACAACCCATCTACAGTGTTCTCTGAGCTCTGCCAATGCGAAAGCGCTTGACAGGTGATATAATTACCAGATCTATCTAGATCATAGAGATTAAGGATGCAGCAAAATGACCGTGACAGTGCCCCTTTACAGAAGAGGCCCGAGCGGAATTCTTGCCGTTAATTTTAAGCTAGAGTAAAATGATGAAAGATTAAACACGACTGGTTGTGATCGTAGATTTGTGTCATAGAAATACTTATGAGAAGTTAATCAATCTGTTGACTGTTTATGTCTTGCGATGTGTAACCGTGAAAATATCTTGCGATAAAGTCGGTAGTTTTTCGACATTTTCATTGCCGTTAACAGGTTGGCTCTGTTTTTCTCATACGTGAGCAGTCTCCCACATCTCGCATGAACGCGCTACAGAGTACCGAAACTCTTTCATTCAAGCCTTCTAAAGTCCTTTCTACTGGAATGAAAGTGCAAACATTGAGAAATTAGTCATTGTTGGGTTTCAGGGTTGGATTAAAGGGTCACTTACCAATACAGCCGTAGAGTTCCATCCTCATGGAGATGTGGTAGTGCCATGCTGTGGGTGCCAGTCTAACATATCGCGCTTTGACTGGTGGAGTTAAGCGATGCTTTACCACGGTATCAGAATCACTGTTTCCAACAAACACCTGCAGGAACACGAATAACCAAACTTATATACACATATGAGTTATGTTATGCTTTCGTCTTGAGAGGAGAAGTGATATTCCCCAATGTGCTGCGAAAAATATTTGAAGGAATAATAAACACGATAGCCCCTATTTGACGAGGAAATATATAAACAATAGCCTCCATTTGGCGCGGAAATATGCTCGGATATTTGTCCGCGGACATTATCTGTTTCGAGAAGCAAACTGTGAGCTTTCTGTTTGCTTCTATTCTTCGCGCATGGATTTAGCCAGAGTTAAAAACGATAAATTATAGTCAAACGGTACAATTATTGCAAGTTAATTCATAAATCATGAACTTCGTTTTATAGACCTCAAGCCCTCTTCAGCCGGAGAAACTTGAAAACGCAGCTGTTTTTTTACGGTTAGCCTACCGGCGTCTACACTGATCTAATCCTTCACGAAATCGGAGCTTTTCGAAAACGCCTTTCAAACGGAAGGAATTTGAAAACGTCGGCTTTGCGTTGAAATGTGGACGGAAAACAGAGAGCTTAAGAGAACGGAGCTTATCGGAAGCGATGACATCACTATAATCATGTAATATTCCTATCCGAGTTTTCTTCAAACACAAATCGAAAATGACCGGTGTGTGTTGCCTTTTACAATTTCTTTGGCGTCCTGTAAATGAAAAACATTTGATGCTTTGTTTAGAGTGAAACGCTGTCAACAAATTTCTCCGGCGAAGTGTGGGCAGGGCCTGAGATGGTTTTTGGCCAATAACGCATACAAATTAGCCGTGTAGTCTGCTCAGTGAAATACGCTGGAACGAAGACAGTTCTTGCCAAAAAAAATAGGTTCGTTTCATTATGGAACGAACGGAACCAATGGGACTTTTGTGCCAAATTGATTGTAATAATGAAAGCCAAATAATGGCATATTTGTTTCATTATTATGCCTACTTTGGGATAGTTAATCAGTTTTTTGACTAACTTTGCCAATTATTGTTTTCTAGAGATGCACCGAAATTACCTAACATTTAGAGTATTTTGCACTACGATACTAAAAACAAAGAGGTGGCTACGCAAAATTCATCAAGAATGCAATTGAAGTTTTCCGTTTTTAACTGTTAATTACTGGGGTGAGGAATACCATTGTGTAGGGTGCTATCGATGGTTGCTTCTTATTCAACCAAGTAAGTCTCTTTTGTAATTTTTCAAGACGTCGTCAGTATATCTGGTGTTCCTGATCTGACACCAGCCGCTTTCTCGCTAGCGTTTCATTTTTTTTTTTTTTTTTTAATTTTCTCGTCTTGTAAGGGATACATTATCACCTTATCTGTGTTCTCTCCTTGCTGTTTAAAAACCTGAAAGGAATTTCCATCGTTGCTGTACTGTAACTTGTATTGGGTCACCCGTTGGCTGCTCCCAAATCTTCCTTGGGTTGCCACATAAGTGACAGTTGTCTGAACTCTAAAATCGATTTGAATCCACTGATGTAGATCATTCACTCCCGCTGCCCACGTGCCGTAATTACCCTTATAGTGTAGTCTTCCGTAGTTTGGGGCATGATCTCCATCATGCTGAGAGGACGCAGATATTTGTGCGGGCGTTATCTTAAAGTTTTCCATTCCCAAAGGAGCCAGACACTCTAAACAGTAAAACAAATGGCAAATGATAGTCATCTAGCTTAGCCACATTCAGGTCTATTAGCTTCTCTTCAAAATGGATTATCCTCTGCGAATAAGCAGGTAGCAGGGGGGTAGCATTCGTTCAAGAATATTCAAGCGACGATCATAAAACTAAGAATGTACAAACTACGCCCGAAACTATTTCCTTTGACGGGAACAACAAGGGATGGTGATGTCATCTAATAACCACCATTATTGGATTCCTTTTCGTGTTTTTCTTGATTTTTCCAAAACGCCAGAAAATTGCCAAAAAAAGACTCAAAAGTAATCAAAAGCAATAAGTGCTTAAAAGTCTTCGAAAACGAAAGTTAACTTCATTTGATAAAAACAAGCCGCCTCCCCGAGGTCTGAATAACTTCAGTTGATAGTAAAAACATGGAGTAGTTGGGCGCAATACGAGTAACGATCAAAACCGTACTGTTGTACCGAAGTAATACGATGAAAGTCTTTTTCTTCTCAGCTAACGAAAATAAAGACAATATGTTTAAATTTTTTGGCCCCTCGTAATTTAACTCCAGAATTTTGGACGGCCGCCACAATTGGGATTTACACTTAGATAAAGTACACATTCACGATAAGATCAACGGTGACAAAGGCGCACATTTTGGCACTTGTAACCTGGGCGGGTGCAAAAATTTAAAACTTAGTCATTGTTGAAGATTAAAGCAAGGGCTAAATACCAAAACATCCATAGAGTTCCATCCTCATGGAGATGTGGTGATTCCATGTCTTGGGTATCAGTCTGATGTATCGTGCTTCAATTGGAGGAATCAAGGGATGTTTAACCACGGAGTCTTGATCACTGTTTCCAAGAAACACCTAGCGATAATTAAACGTAAATACATACCGGTAACGAAGTAGAAATGAGCAAAAAACTCATAAGTTGCGTGACTGCGCTGTCGATGATAGATTAGATTATAAGGTTCAAAAGGCTATTAAAGTGTCAAATATTCGCTGGTAATCTAAACGCTTCAGGCTTAGCCCTACTTTTAAAAGGTGTCTGAATCACCTAATTAAAAAGTACCTTCTAGACGATCTGGAGCCCATATTGGTTGTTGTTATTATTATTATTATTATTATTATTATTATTATTATTATTATTGTCATTATCATTATTATTATTATTATTTTGCGGCCGGAATCGTTTACCGCGAAATATCCCAAGATTGACTTGATTCTTTAGCTTAAAGTGCTACTACGATGAAAATCACATCTTTCCTATGTAAGCCATCTTAAACAAACAAACAAAAAAAAACATAGTTGTGTGTATGAGAAAAAGAGACTGTTTACTATTTTCAAATATTTGTTTTCGTTTCAAGGAAACTCAAGTTTTAAAACTTTGCAAATTAGTCAAGTGATGGCATCATAAACTCGACCGAATTTTGCTCCAATTTGATGAAAAGAGAGATCTCAACCAATTTGTATCAGAAATGTTTTTTTTTCTAAAATTCTACTAGGTGTGCTCCAGGTTATGAGTTTAATATTTTTGCTACCATGCCAACATACTGGGTTACAGGCATCCTCGATATTAAAGGACTTTTGGCCAATTTTGGTGCTCTATTGTGATATTTGCCAATGGTGGCTTATCTGCAAGATCCAACAAACATATAAATGTGTCAGGTCAAGTTTGTGGCCTTGCTTAATGTTTCTCGAGGTGACAATCACGAAAATATTGAAATCAAGTTGGAGGAAACTGGTAAAGAGTGAGTCGCCATGGGAACAAAATTGTTTACAGAAGCTTTAGGAGTGTTGCCTGTAGAACTATTAGCCTACCAAGGTTCAATGTTCTCTGTTGAAAATTGACCGATATAACTCTATTTATGTACTATGTAATATTTGTTTGAGTGTGTGACGTCATCAGTTCTCTTTGCATATTATTTACAATTTTCAATTTTAATTGTCTCCGGAACCAATGCAGATATTTGCAAACGATAAACGGAGTTTCTAAACCTTTGTGACATTCTATGTGATAGACATAAAAATTTCAGGGGTAAAAATTGCCTCATAGTAGCACTTTAAAAACAAGCCTTTAGGGAAGTGTATATACAACACTGCAAAAAGAGTCAATAGTTCACCGTATACCACCACGAAGTATGCCCAACTACGGTACGTTTTCTTATACCACACCTACCCCCCTCCCCCTAGCTACATGTACTTGAGTTCTGATGGCACTCCGAAGACATCTTAAGGGTAGTTCCATCGTTTTCTCATCACGTGTTCAAATGTTTCTTGACAGTTGAGGCCCGACACTGGTTCGTTGATTGCCTGTCTGTATTTCCTGATTTGTTTGGACATGAATAAGCTCATCTCAACTTATCTAAATTTTCTCCATGATGTTTATAAACCTGAAAGGAAAGTCCATCCTTGCTGTATTGTAACTTGTACTTGGTTACCCGCTGGTTGCGGTCCCCGTACCTCCCTTGGGTTGCCACAAAAGTGACATTTGCCTCAACACGAAGATCGATTTGAAACCACTGATTTGTTTGGACATGAATAAGTTCATCTCACCTTATCTAAATTTTCTCCATGCTGGTTGTAAACCTGAAACGAAAGTCCATCCTTGCTGTATTGTAACTTGTACTTGGTCACCCGCTGGTTGGGGTCCCCGTACCTCCCTTGGGTTGCCACAAAAGTGACATTTGCCTCAACACGAAGATCGATTTGAAACCACTGATTTATATCATTCGTACGCACGGCCCATGCTCCGTAGCCACCCTTGAAATGCAGTCTTCCGTGGGTTGGGGCAAGATTTCCATCAAACTGGGAAGACGCTGAAATCTGTCCCTCTGTTATTTTACGGTTTTCCATACCCAAGGGTGCTGAACATTCTAATAATAACAAATATGAAAGTTATAGAATAATCTTACATTTAGCTCAAGCTAAATAGATTCAAAGTCAATACACTTTGTAATTCTTTTAATCGCTTAAGCTAAAAAGTCAAATGTGTTTACCATAAATACATAAAAGCTGCAGTAAGGACAGTAATTTGCTATCTAGAAAACAAATTAGGCCTACTCTGGGGTCTTAAGTCGCCTAGGTCGCCTTAAGTTGCCTTATGTCGCTCAAAGTCGTCTCAAAATGCTATTGGTTACACAATGTTAAGAGGCTGTCCTTGTAAAAACCGACGACTGATTTTACTTCGAAAATTCGATTTTTCTTATAAGCTGGGATTTCGAGGCGGTCCGGGTTCGAGCCCTGGCCGGGGACATTGTGTTGTGTTCTTGGGCAAGACACTTTACTCTCACAGTGCCTCTCTCCACCCAGGT